TTTTTTTTTTTTTTTTACCTCAGGGCGGTTAAAAATCACATAAATGCACACAAAAAGAATTTAACGATTAAAATAAATATTTTTTCATTTTTTTTTTCCGATAAAATCCACCGAGAAATAATCATAATCCGGTTAATAACGAAATCACCGTTTTAGAGCCTTTTTGAAAATGATCTAGAAGTTTCGATTGTTCTCGAATTTTATAGTCGTTATGAAATGTAAGAGGGAGGGAAAAAAAAAAAAAATGGCGGGAGACTCTCGGACATCGTGAAACCTGATTAATTTATTTTAGGCTTAAATTTATAAGATACCATCAATTTTTTTTTTATTTTTCCGGGGTAGTTTTATAATTATCATTTTATTTAAAATTATGTAAAATTTATTTTAAAAATTAATTAAGTAAGTAAGTAATTTTATAATTATGTGTGTGATTCGAATTAATTAATTATTTGAATCATTTTTTATAATTTTCTTTGGTTTTTTATTAATTAAATTATTAATTTCGATTTGATAATTAATGTTAACGATATAAAAAAAATGATTTAAATAATTTATTTATTAATTCCGTTAAATTTTTTAAAAGAATAATTAAATAATTAATTAATATATATATATTATTATTAATAAGATTACACTCGTTTTAATAACGAAAAAAACGGTTTGAAAAATGGTAATAATAATAATAATAATAAATTTATTTATTTGTTTTAAAAAAAAAATCAAATTAATAATAATAGTTATTTATGATTTACTTTTTTTTATAAAATAAAATGATGGTTTACATTAGTGAAGAAAAGGATAGAAAAAGAGAGAGATAGAAAAAAAATGACAAACCTGGCCCTGAATAAGATTTATGTTCACGTCTCTGTCTGCATTGGCTCCAACCAATTTACAATATAATTCAGGTTCGGGCGTACCTTCTCCGCATGTTGCTGTTGCCGTTATCTTTCTACCATCGGCAAGATTAAAATATGGGGGTGTTAAAACTTCTCCGCTAACATAAGAAATAGTCAACCACG